TTAAATGATGAAAAATTAGGTGTCTATTTACTTGTGACCACTCAGTGTATATGTTTGTAAAGTTTAATTGAATTGAGTGAACTTGTATTATTAAGGGTTCATTTAATGTTCTTATGCACATCTAAGGCTGTACGGTACCATAGTTGTAAATGAACATTTTGACCAAAAAGGTATGCACAAATAAAAAAATTATCAAGTATTAAGATATGGTATATTAATTATTAATAGTAAAATTATTTTTATTTTTCTCTTATATCTTCAGTATGATTATATATATGAATTCATAAGAATGTACATGTATACTTGGTATAACAAAAAAAAATAGTTTGTACGAAAAGTTGTCCTCAGATTACCTATTAATTTTTTAAAAATTCAAATTGGCACTTGTATCATTAATACCATCTGATACTTTCTCTTGTTATATATATGACACTAAGACAGCACGTTCCTAAATACAGCTTCAGGCAAGGTTTGAGCGTGATCTTTTTTTCCAGATGCCTGAAGCTCCACTTTTTGTTTAATTATAGCTTGATGGCACATTTCTGGTAAGTTAACAATAAGCATGTTTGTCAAGAAATAGCTAGGGTTTGTTATGCATGTTTGTTAGTTGATAAAGTAAGAAAAAAAATGTGCATGCAAATTTTTGGGTCTAAGTTTGTTGAGAACATAATAACTTAATGTCAGTTGTAGAATACATTAATTAAAAAAAACGTATATATATATACATATGAGAAAATGATTTAGAAAAGTATATTATGATTAATTTATTATGAATTAACAGGAAATAAATCACTTGCACACTTCAAATTTCTGATGGCTCATTAAAGAGTAGACTTTCCTATGACCCAAAAGAAAGGAGTGTTTGAGGGGTTTCCTATAATAATGTTTTATACTAATTTTAAATACAAAAAATTATATTATACCAAAAGAAGTAATTTAAGACCTAAACTTATAGATTCAAATATACAACGTTGAAGTAATTGTCAACTTTTTTTTAAAAAATAATCAATGCACAATTTTGTATATTATTTCAGGTTCAAATTTCATAAATATACGAGAAATCTGCAGTATTTCTAGAATAATCTTCTGCAGTTTTATTGCAATCTCTGAGGTCAATGGTCTGAAATTTAGGTTTCTTTTTATTTGTGATTGTAAACGATACATTATTTGATAATGGTTCATGTGCATAAATGGGATAATCATTAGTTACATGAAGATGAATCTTTAATAATTTTGTAGAAAAATTCTTATCCAAGTAATATTGGAAATAGTGAATTAAATCATTATTTTCTTATTTTACAGAGGAAGCATTGCAAGCTGGTCATGCTTAACTATATACATTCCACTTGACAAGATTAAGGACAGTGCCATTTGTTGGATGTCAATTCTTTTTCTTCAAATAAAACTACATGCTTTTAATAAATGTTTGCAAAATTGAGAATCAAGTAGTTAAAGAATGAGAATTTTAATTTTTCGAAAGATGACACTAAAACTTTGTAATTCTAGTCAAATTTCTTGTAGTTTTATTTTATACAAAATCATCCAGTTTTAGCTAACATCGTACATATTTATGTTCTAGTCATACTTCTTGCTGTCTTATCTTTTAAGAGAATTTGCCCAATTATATTTATAGCTAGTTTCGTACATATCCCTTTTTAGTCACAGTTCTTGTGGACTTTTTCTAATACAATTCATCCAGTTTTAGTTAGTGTAGTGCATGTTTCTGTTCTAGGGTTATTTCTTTTAGCATTATTACCTTAAAAAAAAATCCGTCCAGATTTAGTTACTGTGATGCATATTTCTAGTTGTAGTTCTTGTAGACTTGTCTTCAATAAAATCCATCCAGTTTTAGCTAGTGCGATACAAATTCTAGTCAGAGTTCTTGTAGACTTGTCTTCAATAAAATCCATCCAGTTTTAGTTAGTACGATACAAATTCTAGTTGTAGTTGTTTTGGAATATTTCTCAATAAAATCCGTCCAGTTTTAGTTACTGTGATGCATATTTCTAGTTGTAGTTCTTGTAGACTTGTCTTCAATAAAATCCATCCAGTTTTAGCTAGTGCGATACAAATTCTAGTCAGAGTTCTTGTAGACTTGTCTTCAATAAAATCCGTCCAGTTTTAGTTAGTGTGGTGCATATTTCTAGTTGTACTTCTTGTAGTCTTGTCCTCAATAAAATCTCTCAAGTTTTAGATAGTGCAATACAAATTCTAGTCATAGTTCTTGTGGACTTTTTCTAAAAAAATCCACCCAGTTTTAGTTAGTGTGGTGCATGTTTCTGTTCTAGTGGCTTTACCTTAAACAATCAGTCCAGTCTTAGCTAGCGTAATACATATTTCTAGTGGTAATTCTTGTAGTCTTGTCCTCAATAAAATCCATCCAATTTTAACTAGTGTGCTACATATTTCTCTGAACTTTCATATATATGGCTTTAGAGTTGATATTAGAAATATCTATACAAATTACATCACCATAGATAAGTTTTAAAGCTACTGCTTATTTTGCTGATGGAGGAAAAGTATAATCACTTGAAATCTCATACATTTGATTTTTTTTTGCAAGTAATAAAACTTTCATTAACACACACAGTTATAGTAAGATTACCAGTAATTTTTATTAGAATATTAATAGTTAACCTGGCATTCAAAATGTTGTGAAAATAACATTTCACCATAAGGACCTTTTATTTGTATAACAGATATGTTGGTTTGAATTAGAATGTTGTACAAGCTAAACACCTGTAGACTGTTACTGGTTAATAGTTCCTATTGCTAATTTATTAATGTAAATTTTTAAAAACTTGTATCTCTCATGAGAATTACATGGCATTATTATTATATGCTGTATTTTCTTAATTT